TAAAAGCCGAGTCTACAAAGACAATGATTGTGTCATAAAAGTGATCAATGAAAATTAGTATTAGACCATGAAAATTGCATCTCGCAATGGCTCAAGTGTTTTAAATCCCGTTTGGTTAACAGGCAATATCGCGTTGCTATAAATGCGTAACAGAAATGCATTTCCAGCTGGACCCTTAGCACCAAGGCTTTAAATCTTCGTAAGGTTTATTTGACGCTGAGCCTGATAAGCAGCAGCACGATCACCGAGGTGGGGTCAGCGCTCTCCTCTGCTCCATTTGAGGTCATTAACAACACAGACAGACTTCCAGACCTACACTTTGCTGCTGCTGCTGCCTTCCTGCACATCGATGTTGCACTGAAACCAGCTGAGGTTTCTGCAAGAACAGAACTCAGACACAGAATTTTCTTATCCATCAAGTCCATACTGATTACAGCATATTGTATGTGACTCCACTTTTCTAACCAATTCTTTATTTCAAGAACGCCACAAGCAAGCACTCACTTGAACAAAACACAGATGATTTTTAATATGTATTACTAAAACCATTTTGTGAATTGCCTTTCAAATATCTTAACTTTTGTTTTTTTAGTTAGAAAAGTATTTTTTCTACCTGGATCATACAATTATAGAAGCTGTAAAATAACATATGCTTCTACAAGCAATATATAAATTCTCACGTTGTCTTTACCAGGAAACCTGGTAATTAACATTTTTTTTAAAACTCCAGAATCACAGCTAGGTACAGTCAGTATAATGTTAATAAATACATTTCTTACTTAAGTCCCATCTTGGGGTCTTTAATTTAATTAAAGCACTCTAAGTTTTATCATATAACAGAGACATAAGCATAAAATTGTTGATGAAGCATAAAAGCAAAGCGTTCGTGAGCCCTATATTCCCTCACGTTATGGATCTCTCCTACCAGCCCCTACCTTTCATCTGCTACGGTTTCCCAACGAGCTTGCTAAAAAAAGAAGTATCCGATGCATGTATCATTCCCCACATAATAGATCCCAATTTTGACAGGACTCATGCAATCTAAGTAATGGATGCGTTTCATAATTGTCCTCGTCACAATTAGATAAAACTATACTCCAGAAGGCTCTCACCAAGCAGGTGCATTAGGCTCTGGGAAAGCATTTCAGAAGCAATCACAACAGCTCTCGTGGTACAGATCCATTTGTCAACTTGAATTCGGGAAATTAAAAGACATCACTTGCAGGACAAGATGCTGAGTCTTCACTGTTGTGTTATCTATTCCTATCAACAGGATTCTTTCCATCAAATCATTCAAGCAAGTTGATATCTCAACTGCTTTTAGTGACATTTCACAGCCTTTGGGTCAAGCGTGTTCCTGGGACCCTTCCTGGCATGAGTCTTCAAGGAGTGTACTGGTGAAAAACTGGAACAGATGCTGGGCATCAGTTTTGCATGGGTACTTAATTATTACTAAGTTTAAAATAAAAAAAAAAAAAAAACTCTTATCCCTACAATTTATGTTTGTTTTTTGCCAAAAGTCCAATTTTCAGGATGGTATCCCTACAAAAAAACAAGGGGTTGGGTTTTTTGGTTTTTGTTTGGGGATATTATTTATTTTGTTGTTTTTCTTCACAGACAGGAGGTAAAATCCTGCAATTACACTCACAGAGCATCCTCTAAAAGTCTACCCCAAGGTAAAACACACGGAGTAGTAATAATAAATATAGCCTCCACATGTTCAGAAAGGATGTTGCCTAGTTTGCTAGCACAGGAATATCCAGATTGACCTACCGTATATTCCAATTTTACTCAATATTAATGTAATTTGTGTGATAAGACCATTAGCAGTTCTTTGCTCTTCAGATCTGTTATGAGATCATTCTATCGACCGTAGGTTACTGACACTTTGTGCCTACCATTGAGATTCCCTAAAGACAAGTCCCCCAAAAAATGTGTACAGAAAACCTGCTTTGGGAAACAGATCCAAGGTCTGCCTTAATTTATAATGGTACTACCAAGTATCAAGGTACCAGAGGGAGTGCAGAGAAAGGAATAATTGAGCCCTTGTGTCTTTTTACCTTCAAATGCTCCAAGGTCATCTGCTCCATCCTTTTTCTCTGCCCCATCCATCATTGCTAGCTCATAGTGTTTATCAGCAATTAGCCTGTCATGACATTACACTGCAATATATGCTACTGTGAAGAGGATATTTTGAGCCAAGCTTTGATTTCCTACTTAAAAAGCTGAAGAATAACCTCAAACCAAAG